GCGGCTTCCTGACCAGCCCACACAAAGTAGCTTCAACTCTGCTCACTCGGTATCACCCTACTTGGTTTGGTTTTTTTCTTGCTGCTTTTGTCACTCGAGGTCACTTGTTTGAATCATGTATGTTCCATCTTCTCATACGAGGATGTCAGTTCCAGGAAAAAGGACCCTGAGCCTGCTCTACGTTGCTTACCATATCATGTGTCACCAAAACTTTTTTAAAAGGCTCTTCAAAAACATTAAAGTTCTCTTTTCAGACATTTTCAAAGTGTAGTGTGGAGTAGGAGGAGGTGGGGGCGGAGCAGACGGGCTTGATCTTGAGTGTTGCTCACAGCCGGTGACAGCTGACTGACAGACCAGAGGTCAGGAGACCCGCGGTTTTCCAGTTGCTGCAGGTCAGTGACGCATCACACCACCCTCCTTTCACAATATTTAAAAACACGTGTCTCTCAGCTTTTTAAACCAGCTCACCCACTTTCTTAGTTCTTCCTACTAACCCACATCACACATGAGCCCCAGTGGCAGGGGCTTTCTGAGGGGGGGCACTGGAAGAAGGGAGCTGGGAGGACGCGACACCCAGAGAAGAGCTGTGATGATTCCCAGAAACTTACAGCTGAATTTCAAAGACAACAGGCATTCAGAAGCCATGACTGCTGAGCAGCAGGACTGAGCAGCAGCCTCGCTGAGCTGGCACTGTTAAAACCGAGGTGCTGAAAAGATGGCTCTCAAGCTTTTTAGAGTCATGGCACCAATTCAGATACCAGAAATTTGAGAAAACCGTTGAAGAGATGAAGACTAAAGGGAGCACTGCGTTAGCAATAAGTGCAACCTATTTACACAGCAGCGGACAAAGGCTCCTGTCGCAGCGAAGATCTCCCTGGGGGGGTCACCATCTCCAGCCCCCTTGGCCACCCCGCTGCGCTCCAGGGCAGAATCCCACAGCTGCCGGCACATTGTCCTTTTGTGAGAGTTTGATTTATGCTAAACCACCTCCCTCCCTTGTAGTAAATTGTTTCTAATCTGCGCCCTGTTCCTCAGACAACCCAGGTCAACTTCTGACAGACCTCGCCTGTGGGCAGACTACTCAGCGGTAGGAAAATGAGGTGCATTTGTTGACTGGAATTGGGCAAGGATTTCCTGGTGGAGCAGAGTGCCCGACACACTTGCTCGGGGACAAGGCTGAAACCTCACTCCCACGTCAAACATGCGTGCTCTGTAGTCACCA